TATATATGCGATCTACCTGCTACCCATCAGGTATGCATTCCCGCAAATCGTGGATCTGAAGGGGATGTGCGCGCCACCGTGGCCACATACGTCCTGGAGAGCGGTTGGCAGGACAGACCGACGCCAGCCGCACAACCTCCATTGGCTGGAGACTGCGAAAATTCGAGGCGAACGTTTACTGAATTACCTGAATTGCGCACATGCCGCTGTACAATAGTGTCCTAATGCGTCACCGCACAGACTTGGTTTGTGTCTCCTCTTCTGGGAGCAGTCCAGTCGAGCACCTCATACAATTCAATATACCAAGCCGCGAACCGGCGCGCAGCGACACTGCGCAAACTGCTACACAGCCCTTCGCCTCACGTCGAATCCTGCAGCGCATCACTCCCTTACTTCGCGCGCCACCAAATCCGTTTCAAGAACAACAAGTTACGCAGCTCCTCGACGCATATTCCATGTTGCTGGAAAACGCTACCCAAGGGCAGGCCTTTCTAACAACAGGGAACTGCACCAACTGCCCTGCAGCGCGCCGATCTGTGTAGTAGCATTGCGTTCACACGTGTAGAGCGTCAATACGCCTGCCAATCGCCACGTCAAGCGATGCTACATAGCTCCAACGACTATGCGCTCAGTAGGCCCTAGCTCTGCAATCCATCCAACGCTGCGCAACCGCTTTCCCGTGGGCTTCTTTGCAACGCGCTGCATCTTCCATAAGCGGCACATATTCTCGACCTTCCAGTGCACAGATGGCCTGATGCACACGCCGCAGACGCAAACGCTATTCAATTCAGTCAACCGCTACGTCTGCCTAGTCACTTCATGAAACCCGTTCCTGCCATGCCACTCTGTCAACAGGTGCCTCTTCTCCCTCAAGCAACCTTCGCCTTGTAAAGTCGCAAAACTAGTCCACGCATGCGTCGCTTGCATACGCAGCAGGACACACAAATCCGCATCACTGTTTACATGTGCGATCTACATTACTACTCTCCACCTATGCATTCCCGCAAATCGTGGATCTGAAGGTGCTTTGCGCGCCACCGTTGCCACATACGTCCTGGAGAGAGGTTCACAAGAGATGCCGACGCCAGCCGCACAACTTCCATTGGCTGGAAACTGCGAAAATTTCGTGCGAACGTTTACTGCATTGTACGCGCATCGCTTTGCCATAGTGTCCTAATGCGTCACCGCACAAGCTTGGTGGGCGCCTCGTGCGCTGTGCGGAGTAGCGTCTAGAAGCTAAAACACTTCAAAAACCAACGCGCTGACCGGCGCGTAGCCACGCTGCGCGAACTGCTACGTAGCCATTCGCCTCACGTCGAATCCTACATCGCACCACTCCCTTGCTCCGCCTTTGAGCAAACCCGTTTCAAGAACAACAAGTTACGCAGCTCCCCGACGCATGTGCCGTGTTGCTGGAATGCGTTACCCTTTACACCCTCTTTCCAACAACACGGAACTGCACCAACTGCCCTGCAGCGCGCCGATCTGTGTAGTAGCATTGCGTTCACACTTGTAGAGCGTTAATACGCCTACCAGTCGCCACGTCAACCGATGCTACATAGCGCCAACGACTATGGGCGCTGTTGGCCCTAGCTCTGCAATCCATCCAATGCTGCGCAACCGCCTTCTCCTGGGCTTCTTTGGAAAGCACTCCATCTACCTTAAGCAGCGCATATTCTCGACCTTCCAGTGCACAGATGGCCTGGTGCACACGCCGCAGACGCAAACACTATGCAATTCAATCAACCGCTACGTCTGCCTAGTCACTTCACGAAACCCGCTTTTGCCATGACACTCCGTCAACAGGTGCTTCTTCTCCATCAAGCACCCTTCGCCTTAGAAAGACGCATCGCTAGTCCACGCATGGGTTGCTTGCATACGCAGCAGCTCACACAAATGCTCATCCCGCTGTATATATGCGATCTACCTGCTACCCATCAGGTATGCATTCCCGCAAATCGTGGATCTGAAGGGGATGTGCGCGCCACCGTGGCCACATACGTCCTGGAGAGAGGTTCACAAGACATGCAGACGCCATCCGTATAAATTCCACTGGCTGGAGACTGCGAAAATTTCGTGCGAACGTTTACTGCAGTGTGAAGGAGACGCGTTACTATAGTGTCCTAATGCGTCACCGCACAATCTTGGCATGCCAGCCGCACAACCTCCATTGGCCTGAGACTGCGAAAACTCACGGCGAACGTTTGCTGCACTGTGCACGCGACGTGTTACTATAGGGTCCTAATGCGTCAACGCACAAACTTGGTATGTACCTCGTACGCTGTGAGCAGTACAGTCGAGCACCTAATACGATTGAATATACCAAGCTGCGCACCGGCGCGCAGCGACACTGCGCAAACTCTTGTGCAGCCCTTCGACTGACGCCGAATCGTGCATCGCATCACTCCCTTACTTCGCCCGTCACCAAACCTCTTTCAACAACTACAAGTAACGCAAAACGCGGACGCAAGTCCCGTGTTGTTGGAAAGAGCTACCCTTGGCAACCTCTTTCCAACAACACGGAACTGCACCAACTGCTCTGGCGCGCGCTCCTAACCCCATGTCGTAGCTTTGCGTCCACACTTGTAGAGCGTCAACACGCCTGCCAGTCGCCACCTCAACCGATTCTGCATCGCTCTAACGACTATGCGCGCCGTAGGTCCTAGCTCTGCAGTCCATCTCACGCTGCGCAACCTCCTTCCCGTGGGCTTCTTTGCAACGCGCTGCATATGCCCTAAG